GCATGATTAATAAATTCTTAGCGTTTTAGAAATTTTAACGTTAATTTTCTATCAAAAATTAAAGTTTTATTTTATTAGAAAAACTCATTTGAATGTTTTGATTTTTGGTCTATGTGCAGTATAAAAAAATTATAAATCCTAAAGAAAAAGAATATTTAGACGAATATTTTATTATTTCTGAATATTTTATTTATTTATTAAAGTTACGATAGTAAAGATTTATTTAACAAAATATTCGCATTTATTTTTAATGAATATTAGTAAATGCTGATAAAATACAAGACATTTCTCAAATGAATGATTTAAAAACAGCAATGTTGTTATCAGGAGTACGGTTTTCATTAAAACAAAACAAAATAATAAATAATGAAATTTTCTTAATTTTTTATGCACATCAGAGAATAATAAAAATAAAAAAATCAGTGGGGAAAAAAAAAATTGCATCTTCAAATGTTATAGATTTAGAGCTATAAGCTATAAAAATGCAGACACTTTCTCGAATCTTCAAATTTATAGCTTATAGAGATAACATATGTAAATGGATAAAACAAACTACTTTTATAATTTGTACGTATGAGAACTGGAAAAAAAAAAAACCCATAAGATTATAGTATGAGTAAAATATAATTAATTACTTTTTGTACAATTATCTTTTGAATGAATGCTTTCGACGCAAAAATACCATCTTTCATAGTAACCATTTCTAACTAATTTACTTCTTTCGAAGCATCTCACGTGCACTCAAATTATAAAAAATGTCAGACGAGTAAAGAATTAACTGTATTTCAAGGCTATAGCGGCCGACAGGTTTCAAAATTTGAAAACGGCACGTCTCTAAAAGTGACTTTTTCTCAAGGCAGATCGAAAAAAAAAAAAGATAAGGATTGAAAGGAAACACCGCCATCAATGTCTTTTCGCTTTCTCCGTGAGTTGAAAAAATAATTTGGAACAAATGTGTTTCATTCAATAACAGATATGGATTTTTTTAAACATAAAGAATATGACGCATCACAATTTGGGAGAATTTTAGATAAATGAACTTTTCAATTACTTCGTATCGCTTTTAAACTTCGATTTACTGATTTATTTATTTGAACAATAAAACAATTATGTATATTCTATTTAGCTTACTCGATATTTAAAGGTGATTTGAAACTCGCCGGAAATATAGGAAAATAACATAGAAGTAAATATAGCCAGAAAAAAAAAGTTATAGTCTAAGGAAAATTATTGTCATGGCAAAATTATGGATACGATAATAAGACAGATTTTTCTTTTGAACCTGATTGAACTCCTCATTAACAATTTAGAATTTAACGGAAACGGAAGTACCTGTTTCAGAGTACCTATGGGGTAAATATACCCTGGAAACCTCCACATAATCATTAATATAGTTAAATTTACATTACTGAAATTACCATCGTAAATTTAGATTAAAAAAAAAAAAAAATCTACACTAATAAGTTAAGTAATAAAAGAAAGAAGTAAGTTAAGTTACACAGGTACAATTAGGAGTCCGTAACACGTTTCCCCCACAGACGGTCAGTGAATTAATGAAAAAAAAAAAAAAAAAAAATTAAATTTAGAAGTTAAAATAGATACTTTAGAAACGAAAACATTAATTTCTTAAGAATTTTAGATATCATTTGGAAAAAAATTGCGATAGCGAGTATTTGTGTTAGTTTTGCACATCTTAATTAATAATATTAATAATTTTACACTTAATAATAATTCAGTAATAAATTTTATCAATCTTCAAATTTTATCAATATAATTGTATCAATCTTCAAAATATATCAATATAATTTTATCAACCTTCAAATTTTGTTTGTCAATATTTTAAAAAAAAAACCTTTTCATTTAATAATAATTCGGTGAGGAGGTTTAGATCAATAGATTTTCATTTAGAATTTGATTCTCCTTAATACTATTTAACCGTTTGAACCGTTAGGAGGTTTAGATCAATAGATTTTCATTTAGAATTTGATCCTCCTTAATACTATTGAACCGTTTGAACCGTGAGGAGGTTTAGATCAATAGATTTTCATTTAGGAATTTGATCCTCCTTAATACTATTGAACCGTTTGAACCTCCCTTAATGAACCGGAGGTTTAGAATCAATAGATTTTCATTTTGAGGAATTTGATCCTCCTTAATACTATTGAACCGTTTGAACCGTGAGGAGGGTTTAGATCAATAGATTTTCATTTAGAATTTGATTCTCCTTAATACTATTGAACCGTTTGAACCGTGAGGAGGTTTAGATCAATAGATTTTCATTTAGAATTTGATCCTCCTTAATACTATTGAACCGTTTGAACCGTGAGGAGGGTTTAGATCAATAGATTTTCATTTAGAATTTGATCCTCCTTAATACTATTGAACCGTTTGAACAATAAGATATTTTTGTGATAACCGTTTTTAATATAATGCAACTTAGTGGTTGTTTAATGTTGAAATGACCTGTGTGTTTCTAATCAAGAGAAATTCATATACTACAAAAATACAGAATGAATGCCCAAAATAAGAAAAATAACATATAAATTTCATATTCTAAAATTCAAGGTAGAGAAAATATTCAAAAACTCTCGCACTTAATATCTACAATAATGTACAAAATAAAAGTTATTATGTTGTTATAATTCTTATGTTAATAATAATAATGTTGTTTTTATAATAATAATAATATTAATTATGTTAATGATAATAAAGGTATTAATTATTATTAAAAAATAATTAATTTAATTACTAATTAATTATATTTAATTTGTTGAACTAACTTTACGTTAATAATAATAATAATGTTAATTTTTATGTTAATAATTAATAATAATAATCATAATGTTGTTAAAAATTTTGAAAATATTTACGAGTTTTGAAAACAGATTAATTAGATCTCAGTTCTACTTTGCACAATTAAATGTTGTAGCATATTTCAAGGTTAGAATTTTTTTTTTTTTTTTTTTTTTTTACCAAAATACATGTAACTAACAAAAATAAAACAAAACAAAAAAAAAAGAAAAGAAAAGTTTTTTTAAGTTTCATTCTTTCGCATGTAAATTAATGAAAACCCAAACTTGTCGACATTGCTAGGTGATCCCTGTCTAAATAAATCGACAAACTTTTAGAATATTTGGTCAAGCACGCACATGGTGTTGTGTGTTCTTATCATGTACGTGATTGCATTAAAATTAATTACAATAATTTTAATTAGCAACACTATCTGTAGGCGGCGTATAAATTGGCGGACAATTTATGTTTTTTTCTTTGGCATTGCGACGGACTAAATATCTTAAAATTAGCAATGCATTTTTAAACATAAAGTGTTTCATGTACCACAATATTATTTAAATGAATTATAGTTTAAAGAAAACCTCAAAAACACGCTTCTAGAGTTAATCAAACTAAAAAGTAAAAAATAATTGTTAACACAAGAAAAAAAATGACTGACGAGAAAATGAATGTCACTGTTCTAAAAGCGTGGGGTGCTCGATATCAATCGTTATAATTTTCACTAGTTTCATTCGAAATGCAGAGTTAGTTTAAAAATGTCATACAAAGCACCCCACGCTTTTAGAACAGTGACATTCATTTTCTCGTCAGTCATTTTTATTCTTATGTTAACAATTATTTTTTTACTTTTTAGTTTGATTGACTCTAAAGCGTGTTTTTAGTTTTTTTAAACTATAATTTATTTTTTACTTTTAGTTTGATTAACTCTGAAAACGTGTTTTTAGTGTTTTTGAACTATAATATTTAAATGAGGTCCGGTACGATCCCAATCATGATGAGATAATAAACTTATCAAAAATATTTTTAGTGTCGTCGGTCCTTGATAAGTCTACAACGTTTAAATGAAATCTGTTCGCTTAAAGTAGGGCAAATCGAGCCCAAAGAGTCAGTTACCAACAAACATACAGGTGAAACTAATAAAAGCGTGTTAAAAATAATATATTGCGTATGTAAGGTTTTATTAACTTTAAATATTATCTATAGATGGCACTACTTGATCATCTTCTTCAAAGTAATTAAAAAGAAAAGGCGAGCATTTAGATCTGTATTTAGCATCTGCCCGTTAACAAAATAACAAACGAACTCAAATAACAGATCATTATAACTTAACTTATCCTACAACAAGTAATACAAAAAAAAAAAATTAAGTTAATTCTATTTTTTTTTTTTTCATTCTATTGCAGAAAGTCCTTTATAAATAATTTTCATTCATTTTTTTAAGTTAGAAAAAATTCTCTCTCTCTCACACACACTTTCTATCTATCTCACTCATTTATTCACATGTTTCATTTTCCTTTTTGTTCCCTCCTTGACTCAGACTAGACCCAGAATGTAAAAAAGAACCTGAAAAAGAAAAAAATTTTTCCAGCGATCTACACGCTGCGCCACTGACGGTATTCATTTCTAAATTTATATCCTGCTAAATATCTTATATAAGAGACATTTTTTTCTCCCATACAAAACTAAAATTAATGAATTAAATTTAATGAATGAATTAATATTTGAAAAAAAAATTAACTGTATCATCAGTGTCATCCACTGAAAGTTAAAAAAAAATGTATTTGCCCTTGAGTGGAGGAATCAAAAAGTATTTCATGAACGATTAAAAATTTGAACAAGATATATATAGGGAGAGTGGGAACTAATAGTAGGAATTGAAAAAGCATGTCTCCTTTGTGACTCTTTCGTGAGCGAGAGAATATGTTTGTTATTTCTTATCCCACTTGGCTGGCCAAGCCCACGAGCCCATACGTACTCATGATTTGAAGGGGAAGGAAGCAGCTTCTGTTGTGATGGAACACCTGTAGGTAGAAATCTGACTTTGGCTCTGTGACGCTCTTACAGTCATAGGAGACCGGGACCTACGGCTTAAAGTGGATTCCGAACCACTACAAACATTCATGGCACCGCCGGGATTCGAACTCGAAACCTGTGGCACCGAGCGCCTAGAAACATTCGGCCATTCAGGTCCCAAATTTGTGAATGCCAACGGCACGCGGTGTTCCCAGGTGGTCCCCACCCAAGTATTGACCGCGCCCAATGATGCTTTCGACTTCGGTGATCTAACGAGAACCGGTATATTCAGCATAGTATGGCCGTTGGCTAAAGAGAATATATTGATTTTAAATACGCTTAATAATGTCTCTCAACTATCTAATACGGTAATCGACGGGGTCATGGTCACTGCCATTCCTAGATTAATAAGTTGCAGAACCTTGATACAGTCGATGGCTCTATCTAGAAGGTAACTGGGACATCTAACTCTTTGTCAACTACTGATGATGAGTATTAGTCTCAGGATCAGTTCCAAATTAACAATCTTAATAACCGACTCACGGAAAATACAGTTAAATTTTCCTCTTCTTTATTGGAGCAATATCCTCATGGTAGACAGGAGATGTTTTTTTTTTTCTTTTAGGGGGTATGTTAGCTCTACTCCCAATGCTATACAGTCATATTAGACCGGGACCTACTGTTTAAAGTAGACTCCGAACCATTAAAAACATCCATGGCACCACCGGGACACGAACCCGAAAACTATAGCACCGAGCACTACAGCGTTAGTCACTCGGCCATCAGGCTCCACAGTTAAATCACTCACACCAGGGTCTCCTACATTTATGATTATATTTCTAAATTTAAAAAAAAAAAAAAAAAAAAAAAAAAAAAAAAAAAACCTGATGTGGGTAACATTACTAAAAAATGCTTAACTGTTTTACCCTTTAAAACAGGGGTCTCTAAACTTTCCAGCCTTGGGGCCATACTGTTTACTCCAATAAGTACCAAGGGGCCAAAACCGTTTTAATTTTTCTGCCATTATCTATAATTTCTAGACCAGTCGCCGAGTACGCGCTCTCCAGCTTGCTAACTACAAACTATTGTCAGTGAAAAATCACAATTACATAAATCTCATTAGTAGTTTTTGCAAGCGGATACACCGCGGTTTCATTCGCGTTCATTTAGCTTTTCCGTTCCTGAGGGATTTTCAGGATAAAAATCACATGTTTGATTCAGGATATATACATTCCAAACATCGATATACGTACATATGCGATACTCTTTACCCCAACATAACTACCGAAGGGTAACCGCGGGATGTTCACTAGTTTATAATGTTAGTGGGATTCATTTCAATTATGTGTTAGTTGTTGTGCTTAAGTTAAGTTTTCCGCGTATTATGCTTGTCATTAAGCTTTACCTAGCAAGTCAATAAAACCGAGTTATTATTATTCTGCGTTTTCCTACCCAACTTATTACAGCAACAATAAGCTATTCGCAGTCGCGGGCCGGATGGATGACACTGGCGGGCCGATTTGGCCCGTGGGCCGTAGTTTGACCCCTGCCTTAAAATAATCTATAGAATCGCTAAAATAATTGATGCTATTTTTAAATTTTGAATTAAAATTTTGAACTCAATCATGGAAAATCGCAATTATTCTCCCTACTCGTCAACCTGATAAACCCCTTAAATTAAAAAACCCTTCTAATTATATAGACCAATTTCTCTTTTTATCCACTTGTAAACTAACTGAAAAATTAAAACACATCTTAAAAAACACTCCATCATGACCTCTCCACTAACCATGAGCTCCTCCGAGTCACAGTATTGATCTCTAAAGGTCTTGTCCACAAAAATCAATTACTGGAGTGATCCTCCTTTATGTTAATAAGGCTTTTGATAGGGTCTGGACTGACGGTCTCGTTCACAAACTTTATGCTCATCGTTTTCCGATTTACTTAATTCATTTTATTCATTCTTACATCATTATGAGATATTTTATGGTATATGTAAGCAAATACCTCTCAATTTTTTTTTTTCTAATGCAGCTAGCAGTACAGAGACAGTTATCTTTATGCCATAGGCAAACGTTGCTCCATTGTTACTCATTTACATTACCCAGGGGCACGTGTAGCTTGAAGATATGTTACGAATGCGAGCAAAGGCCCTAAAAATAGTTAAAAAACAAGTAATATATAAAACAAAATGTTAAAGTCAATTCCTACTTTTTTCACTCTATTGCAGAAAGTTCTTTATAAATAATTTTTCATTCCTTTTTTGAAGTTTATCGGGCGCCATCTATTGGCAGATATATGCAACTTAAATCTAAAAAGATAACTAAAATTAATTAATTAATTTTAATGAATGAATTAATATTTGAAAAAACTGTATTAACATCCAGTGTCATCCACTGCAAGTTTAAAAAAATGTATCTGAACTCGAGCGGATGAATAAGAAGTATTTTATGAACGATTGTAAAATTTGAACAAGATATATATAGGGAGAGTGTGAGCTAATAGAAGGAATTGAACAAAAATGTTCTAAGGATACAGATTTAAAAAGCAAGAAGCATCATAAAATAAAGGTCCGTGTGATCAGGTCATATTTAATGTGGCCCTCCAGCGTATACAAATCATCCTTCTATTGTAAGTTAGGAGTCCAGTCCTGAGCCATCAAGTAGATGGGATCGTTTATTATCCTTGGGACTGCATATTATCCTTAGCCATGGCCCAGTAGTCTACGACGTGATAATTTTTGCCCTAGGCTTTCCTGTACCAGGGGATTAGTAACAACAACAGGAAGGAATTTAATAATTAATGATAATCTTTTTTCATGTTTTTATTTGATGATCACATTCAAAACATTAAGTAAAAAATGCTTCATGTTACATTCTCAATCTCAAACACTGGGGCAGGAGTTTTCTGCAACCTGTTTTCTATCTATGCCCCTGTCGGCTATTTTGCATCTGCTTACGACGGTGAGAGTCGAAGCTTTTACGTATTGCTTTAACTCAATTGCAGTGCCGAACAGAACAATTTACTAGAGGAGTTATCCTATCTGACTCTAAGGCAGCACTTTTGGCAATCAACTCCTCCCTAGCACCTCAGTCTACTTCCATCAAAAGTGCATCTCTGGTCTTGAAGAACCTGACTCAAAGGCAAGGATATCGTTTTGCAGTGGATCCCATGCCTTTGTGGGATCTTGGGTAATGAGAAGGCGGATTCTCTTGCCAAAAAGGAACAACCATCACCCAAACCTTTTTGTAAAAAAATCTCTTTTCACTCGATGAAACTGATGATCCGAGACTTCTTTCGGAACACTGAATCTGATAATCTACTTGAAGCCAACTCATCTAAAACCTGGTTTAACTTTGTTCTAAACATCCCTGGCCAGCCAGGTTTAAAGTTGTTGTCCTTTTCAGACTCCTGACAAGTCATGTTTGTTTGGCCAATCATCTTTTCATATGAAAATATTTGCAAACCCAAAATGCATGCTCTGCAGTCTTGGAGAGGGCATGGATTCATCTCACCTTCCTGTCTGCCCTGCACTTGTTTCCTCTACTGTGTAGGGTCGTTACTGGGAGGCTAGGGCCCTTATGGGCTAAACATGTCACTATGAGATTTTCTTCGATTCTCGTCGTTGTTTTCATGTTCCTTGTGTTCTTTTTCTTTTTTCTTTTATTACTTTTTGTAACTTGCCATAGGAAATAAAAAATAAACTCATTCTCAGTCTCTTATACAAAACAGAACAGGGCGAGTTCAACAGCAACACTTAAAACACAAACTCATCTCACTGAGTTTGGTAAACAGCGACCTCCAGTGATTTAGTTTCTATACACTGCAATAAAAATTTAAATTCATCACTCAAATTTTGATTTACTACTGTGTACTACTACTACCCCAAAAGTAAGACCAATTATTTTTCTTTTCAAAAACTTTTATTTATTCTTTCAATTTTATTTTATCGCCTTCATAGTAATCCCTTCCGGACACAATGCACTTACGCCAACTTTTTTTCCAATCCTCAATGCATGCTAAAAAAGCATCGACAGGGAAGCGCCTTTAAAGCGCACACCGATTCACGTTGAATCTCTTCAATCGACTCAAAACGGTATCCGGAGTGGTCTTTTGAGTTTAGGGAAGTCGCACGGTGTGAATACTAAACATGGAACGGTATGGGTTTCATTTTTGGCGAAAAAGTCGCGAAGAATCAATGCAGTGTGAGCTGGCGCATTCAGTGTTTTTCGGTGCCAATCGAGATTTGACGCGTTTGAGACCCAAAATGGAATGGACCTATCCTTTTGAAATTCCAACATCATCTGCAAGATCTCTAATTGTAAATCGACGGTTTTCAAGCACCAAATCTTTAATTTTTTGGACGTGAACTTCTCGGTTGAGGTGGATGGCCGACCAGAGGGCTCTTCGCCTTCTTTGAACGGTTTATGCCACTTCTAAGCATTTCTTTCCGATATAGGAATGCTCACCGAATGCCTTCCGCAACATTCTATACGTTTCCGCAAATAAAATTGAATGCAAGTTCTTTGCTGAATGAATTCAGACATTTCAAAAATCGCCGGAATCAGTTTTAGCGTCCCACAAAGCCAAGCGTAACTCAAACACTTATGAATATTTTGATGTCGGATTTCATACAGATGTCAAGGACAGTGCTAGCAACCTAAAAAGGAAAGAAAGTTGAAATTCCATAAAACCCGGGTGTTTTAAATTAAAAATTGGTCTTACTTTTTGGACACAATAGTATGTAATGTTTACTGAAATTTAGATAGACTTTCTGTAAAACTTTTTGAAGTACTAGTATGAAAATTTATAGACTTATTATATATAAACAATACAGGCTTAACATAATTATTATTTAAAAATTTCCTTTTAAATGAAAATAAAAAAATTTCGGACAAAGTTAAAAATATACCTGACTTTTACTAATATAAATAAACGGTTTTTAAATATTGCAATCTATTCTTTGAGAAATATGCTGTTCACCGTATAAAAAATGTCCATATCTAAAAATATGAAACATTTGAGAGCAACAGCTACATAGAATAGGTTTGGTTTGTCGCTCAATGGTCATCTGGTGCACACGTTCCGCGATTTAGACCGGACCTACAGTTTAAAGTGGATTCCGAAACACTCACAAACATCCATGTCACAGCCAGGATTCGAACCTGAAGCCTGTGATACCAAAGGATAGACAGCTAGCCAATAGGCCATCATGCCGCGGAATAGATTTGGAGAAAGATATATCACAATGTTGAAACATAGCTTTTTGAGAACGGTGCAAATAAGGATATTTTTGTTCTGTTTAAA